AAAGGCGATGGTCCGAGCCCGGCCTGGCCGCGGGGAGCTGTGAGCCGCCAGCCCCTCCGCTGCCGGGGGGGGCCGACCCGGGGCGCTCCTTGGGTTGTTTAAATGAGCTGGAAGTACCCGGAGGTGAAGGTGGCACAACCTTTCACTCGCGTGTTGGGAAGGAAGCAAACTGAGCTCATCCTGTTGTCGGGAGGAGCGGAGAAAACTTCCCTCCTGACTTAGTTGCCTGATCCTCCGTCATCCGCCTTCCGGTAACTGCTGGTTGCTGGCAGCACTGAACAGCTGCTGCCTGTGAGCACAGTGAGAAAAAGGCCTTGGTTGAGTGAGGACAGCAGGTAAAGGCCCTTGCTTGGCTAATCAAATTGGATTAGTAGTGTCAGTCCTTTTTCTGGAGCTAGGAGTTCTGGGCAAATTCATGTGGTATTTCTCTTTTTACTGCTCTGAAAAAACCACTGGTACTAAAGAGAAAACAAGTCCCTTTCAGTGAAATATTAAATTGATGAAGGCATCGTTTTTCCCATGTCTTCCCCCTCCTTACACCTTTGTTCATAAAAAAAGATACTTGCTGCAAATTACTTTGTTTTTACAGTGTCTTTTCATTGTTTTGCAGCGTTGAAGGTCTCCATGCTATTGTAGTCTCCGACAGAGATGGTGTGCCTGTTATCAAAGGTAACTTGAGCTGCTCAGTCTGCTCTGCAGCTGAAATCCTCTTTGAACAGCAGGGGGAGAAAGTACAGAACCTTGTCTTGTGATGCCCAGTACCTGAATGTCCAAAACTGAAGAATTAAACTAGACTTGTACTTCAAGTGTGATCGTTTTTTATGCATCTCTTAAATTTAATCCTTTTGTTTGTGTATATGCTGCATCCTCAATAATTGTAGTGATTGAAGGCTACAGAAATCCTCCTCAGTTAGTAGGGTAAGAGTGATGTGAAGTGCTTGTATCACATAATTCCTAGGCTGATCCAAAGCACTAGGGAGAGTTTGCAGGTATTTCGTTCACTTGGCAGATCTGTGGTCAGAAGCAATTCCATCAAACTTCTACACACATTATTTACTTGTATTTGCTTTTTGGTACTGTGATATTTCTCATATCTCTGCAGTCTTGGTTTAAGATGTTTTTTATGTTGTGGGTAAGCCAGTTTAAGAGTACCCATTAAAGTACTGCAGATTTTAAATTATTTTTTTTAATGTCCTGATTTAAACTCCCAGGAGAACTTGGGCATCTTCACCTGTTTTCATTCAGGTGACTCTGCACCAGTCATCAGTTCGGAGGCTGGAGTTGGTGCAGGCAGTGAGGGACACAGAACCCAAGTGACATGGGTATAAGCTGTGCATCATCCAGGGCAGGACTGCCTCTTAGGTTTGCTAAGGAGCATTGTGTACAGATTATTAGATGGTGTATGGCTGATGGAGGGTGTCCTGTACTCATGGCAGAAGCATGTGAGATGTGTTACATGTTCACCAACGCCGGGTCTGCTGTTGGCAGGGCCCTGAGCTGGTTAAGGAATTGTGATGCAGTCATAGGTGCCATGTAAAAATGAGAATTTTCTTGTTTTGTTCCAGTTGCCAATGATAATGCTCCAGAACATGCACTGCGACCTGGCTTTCTGTCCACCTTTGCCCTTGCCACAGATCAAGGCAGTAAACTAGGACTTTCCAAAAACAAGAGTATCATCTGCTATTACAACACATACCAGGTGAGTAACTTTGGTGTGGTGTGTTCTCAGTCACCAGAGCTGTTTCTGAGCAAGGGGGAGAGGTGGTTAAAACTCTGCTTGGCTTCTGTTGAAGTATTTGTGTTTTATTTCTCATGCTGCTTAAGAGGCTAAACTAACATTTTTTACTGTTTGTTAAGCTTCTCTTATATTTCTCAAAACTGGCTGAAAATGACTAATTTTTCTGAACGTATAGTCATCAGGAATTTGCCACAGGTGCTGCTCATGTGGCCTTTGGAATCCATTAGGAAGGGTTTATGTTCTCTTTTAGAAACAATATTCTCTTTTACAGACAATATTTGTTTATAATTAGTGGCACCTTAAATTTAAGAGCATGCAGCCTACTTCATAGCTGACCTGGCTTGTCAGTACAACTTTCATGTAAGAAAACTATGGAATTCTACTCATGCTTTTTACTCTGCTCCTTCTCGAGTTACAGTAATCTGGAGTGCTTTTGTTATGACTGAGGTGAACTGGTCAACTCTTTGGCCTAGGTTATCTAGCTTTGTTTGGAAAATAAATGGGCAACCAAGTTAGGTTACACACGTTGACTACATTGCTTTTTTCACTTGATGCTGGTAGCTTATTGTTGAGCTCAAGATTCCAGTTCCCCGTTAATGGAAGAGGACAAACTGCTATACACAGAGTAGTATTTTAAAATAATAAACCTGTCTGCCCTCATGTTACCTGTGGAAGGTGTGGTCTCCATAGTGTACTCTGCATTGTTTGCAGCCGAGTTAGGTTTCAGGCGTAGAACACTGCAGACATGGGAGGCTCCCCACATGCAGCTTTCTGTGCTGTGGTGTCAGTTGTCTGTTTTTAATCATTCATCTTATGAAATAGGCTGAAAAGTCAGCTCTGTGGCTTTTTCTCCTTCTCCTTTACATTGAAGAGGCTGCTTGTTGCAGAAAGAATTTATGGGGCAGAGCTCTGACATCCAACATGTGTTAGCTGCTGGCTGAACACTGTTCTCTTTGCAGGTGGTGCAGTTCAATCGCTTACCTTTGGTAGTAAGTTTCATTGCCAGCAGCAATGCCAACACTGGTAGGTCTTCACATGAATTGTAAATATTGCAGTATTTTAAAGTCCAGGTGTTAAAATCATTGAAAATAAATAACCTGAATTTACTTCAAGGTATATTAACTTTGCTCCTGCTGTGCATTTTGTCAGTGTATTGTGAAGAGGAAGAGAGAAAGGTACAAGTAAAAATGTGTAGGTTTTGGGTGACTTGCTGAAGTTGTTACTTTCTTAGAAGCACATTTCCCCTGTGATTAGCCTTAGCCTTGCTATATGAGTGTTCACTGCATCATCAGGGATTGTACTGTATAAACTAGCTGTCCTGTCTCTTCCTATCAGTTCCCAGTTATGTTCTGCAGTATTATGAGCAGTTTCATCTTCTCAGTTCTGTGGGGTGGGAAGATCCTTCAGTGAGGGGCCTGACCTTGCCCAGGAGGGTGTTGGCTAATGAGAGTGCAAGCAAAAGGGGTTTAGTTCTTGCAAAGCCATGTGGGCCTCAGTAGCAGTGGGAAGCAGCAAGGTGATTTTGTGGGCCAGCAGCAGCAGGGGGGAGAGCTGTGCTGTGTGGCTCTGCCCCTGTTGGTGCTGGGGGCTGGCAGGGTGCTGCCCACTGTTCCCAGGGAGAATGAGCAGCTCAAGTGAGATGTTTTGTGTTTTGGATAAGCACTGCCTGTGTCTTGGGAGGGAGCTGTGGAGTTTGGAGGGAGGCTTCTTGGGTATGTTATATGATGGGATGTTCTGTCTCTTCTCTCTTTCCAGGACTGATTGTAAGTCTAGAGAAGGAGCTCACACCCCTGTTTGAAGAGCTGAGGCAGGTGGTTGAAGTTTCTTAACCTGCTGGTGAAGCCAGAGTGCAGCATTCCTTTGCAGCCCAGTGGACAAAAGATTCAATAATCCTCAGTCAAATAACACGTCTCAGAAGAAATACCAGAGCTCCTTAGTACACTAAGAGTAAATTGTACATAGTTCTGAATCTGAAACGATCTACTAGTGTGTTGTAGGTGGATGTTACTTTAGGCCATGCTTCTTCTATTGTGCAGCACTGGAGAGACCACCAAAATAGCTCCCATGGAGTTGAGCTCAGTCAGCTGAGCCAGACCAGCACGATGCTGTCGACTCACATGAGCAACCCACAGATCTCTTGCTTTGCAGGGAACTGCACGCGCTGGGCTTTACCCTCAGGCCAGGTACCATGAGGTGTTGGGAAGTGGATCAGTTGTGTAGTGTTATCAAAGATGTGGTTGGAAGAGTATTGTGAGAGCAAGTTTACTAGCATCAGCGTGTTGGTACAATCAATAAATATCCCAGCTTTCTTGCATGGGTGATGCTTTGGTAAGAGAATGCTACTAATCTGGATGCTGGCTGCATCCTGCTTCCACTATGGAGAAAGCTGTTTCTATGAAAGCTGTTGCTTTAGGGGTTTTCCTGATGCCCAGATAAAAGCACCCAAACAATGTCTCACTTCTTCATGGGGTTTTTGTGTAACAAGGTTTTGAAGTTCTCACAGTCGTTGTGTGGGTTATTCACTGGTGACACTCTCAGCTCATTTACCCTTAGGTTTTCCTGAGGAAGTAAATACAAATAAAATACAGTATTTTTAAATGACAGAGCCTGGTCTGCTCTTCTGTTGCACCATAATATACTGCAGCACATCAGCTTTTCTTGAGAACAGGTCTCTTAATTGTTTATATAGAATCCAAGAGCTTACAGGCTGAAAACTAACCAGTGTGTCTCTCAGTGAAGTGATGCAGATACAGAATCCTGTGCTAGTGCAGAGATGCAGAAGTTGATGCTGACAGGCTTCCTGTTGCTGGGGATTGATCCCATGCTCTTTGCTCTGCACCGTTCCCTCCCAGATTTCCCTTGTGAACAGTGTAGACTTCCAGCACTAAAACCAAATACTGCTGGCCTAAGAGAGAGCTCTTGGCAGGTCTCTGCCTCAGGCTGGGAAAGGGGCTGCCACCCCCCTTCATATCTCACCCACTGTTAGCATGACACAGGATGGGGGGAAATGGTGGTGCTGGAAATGAGGTTTGGGAATTCTTGGCTCAACATCTGAGAGATTATAAGTTGTCAGTCAACCCTTTCCCATTTAAACTGAGCTCTGGCTTGACCTTTCTGTTGCTAGTCATTACAGAGTTGGAAACAGCTCCAAGGCATCTCTGTGTGTATTTCTAGAAAAAAGCATTTGTGTTCCCTCCAAGGCTGATTCTGGCTGTTAGCTTCTGCTCCAACTCTTCTGACTGCTTCCTAGGCCAGCCAAGCACCACTTTTACTGGCTTCAGTTCATGACACTGTGTGCTGAATTTGCTTCTAACATTTGGTAATGCAGCCTGTTGATGTGGAAAAGGGAACGCTGCTTTTGTGGTGACACAAGCTTCATTTCCAGGCTGTTTTCACAGAATGATGGTGTTGCTGGAGACTATCAGCTCTGTCTTCTGCTTATATTGCTTTTATCTCACACAAACTCATCCAAGCTTATAAAGAAATGAGGCGCCAGTTTTTTAAACCACTTCTTTAAGGGGAAAAAGGGGGACAAGGCTTTATCAATACAGTACAGGAATACAGAAGACCTTCCATAGTTTTATAATGACATTTTATTCAGAAAACACTGTATAAAAATATTTACAAATATTTTGAATTTCTGAGTTGAAATAAAATGTTATTCCTATGTCTAAATCTAGAGTGTTTCTTATTCCAGTATGTTTTTCCCCTCCTTTTCTTCAGTCTTCTCACAGTAAAGGCATCTAGTCAACACCTGCTGTGTGAGCAATACCAATCCCTGAGCCACAGCATCTTGGATAGCAGGAGAGGTCTGCATGCACTGCTTCAGCAGAAATGTCACCATTATTCAGGGAGGTGCCCCACATCCCTCTAGAAGGAGCAGGATTGCTCAGAGGGTCTTGCAGCTCAGTCAGCTGTGAGGTTGGTGTCAAACTTTGCTCCCCAAATGTACATCTATTTTGAGTACAGCACCAAAGTTACAGGCTTCCACTCAACTCTGTAGCAAGCTATGACACTTGTATCTCTATGAGTCTTCCAAGTACAGATGGAAATTTGCATTGGGTAATGTGTTCTTTTAAATTCCTATTTTTAGCATATATGGTGCTTTTCTGTTGCTGATCTTGTTTAATATAAGGCAAGCAGTACTTAATTCTGTAACACAGTTCTGGACAAAGCCTTGTTCTGAGTTCCCTGCATGAGGAAAAAGTACAAAATCCAGCCCATTTCAAGGGGGCTGTAAGGGGCCCATCACGTAATGTCACTAACAGCACTGGTGGCTGCCACAGGCAAAGGCTTCTGCAGAGCCCTGCCACCCATCCTCAGGGTCCTGTGGCAGCTCTGTCATACGTGCACTCCAAACCAGCTGTCAGTTTTTCATAATCCCAGTTTCTGAATTTGTGCTTGCATGATGCTGCTCACCCTTAACCTATATTTGCTGTCTGAAACAGCTGTTCACTTGTACCCATCAGTGTGACATAAATCTAAACTACACAAAACTATATTTGGACAGAAATGCTTAACTCGTCCACCACCTTGAAAAGGGCTGTGAAGTATTCTCTGCACTGTAATATGGATACTTTTTACAATAATGTTATTACCTCTGTCATTTTTCTTTTGATTTAGAGCTTAAACAAAAGAAAGAATTAACATTTCCAGAAAGGACTGGCTTTAAGTAACAGGCTTAAGGTTGCAGAATATGCTGCTAATGGTTAGTTCTGATGGAGCTTGCAATGAATTACCACGAGTGCTCCGAACAACCATGAAAAGCTTTAAAACGGTGACTACTGTGATCAGTTAACAGGTGTTTGAGTTAAGTGTGCACTGCAGACATGCATATCAAACCAACACTCTTGATTTTGCAACTGTCTCCACACGTGACCCAACAGCCTGAGAGCACTCAGCTGTACAAATGTTTTGTGTGCAGATTTGGAAGCAAGTGTCTGTGTTGAGTATACACGCTCACACATGCCCACTGTGAGTAAAGGAGCCATGAAACCATCCTCTTGTAAGCAATGCCTTCCCCGTGGCACAGAGGCAACTCCTGCCCATGGAGCAGAAGTGCTGGAGGTACAGCTAGGAATCGGTGCTGCGCTGCTCCAGTTGCTTCCGTATTTGTGACTAGAAGAGAAAAAAACATCCTTTACTGTTTGTCTGTATGCACGTGGTTGAGTGTGAGCATGGCCAACCCAAATACTGGTATTTTTAAGGAAGTAACACTTTTAAGCCTTTACATTGTCTTTTCATTGCTTCCTTCATGACCTAACACATGGTCTGTGCTGATGCTTCATATTGTTCACCATCCACAAAATTATATCCTTAAATATGGAAGCCATATATTCTTCCTAGTGTGTGTGTGTGTTAAAAGGGTACCCCGAAAATGCTGAAGAGGGTTTGGAGGCACACAGGTTATGCAAAAACCTATGTATTTCAGTCTCATTGGCCTGAAAGCCATAACAAGTATTCCCTGCTTGTGGATACTGAGAACTGTAGCACTTGGGTGCTACAATACTGGGGGGTTATGATGGCAGCACCACGGGTCCTGCTGCCTGAGGCACACGTCATCTTACCAGTTTCCAGCGCAGTATTTTAATCCACTCGTCAGCCTCTATCCCAGTTCTCGCACACAAGTAGTATGTCCTTAGTGGGAACACTAAGCTGCAGGTAAACAAGAGTATTCCTTAAGTTGCTAGAACAACTGGTAGTTCTTCCTAAAACTGAAGCCAGCTGGCCTGCACCAGCAGCTGCTAATACAGAGCAAAGTGGGGAGGCTGTGCTCCTGTTCAGTCACCAGGTTTACAGCCAGGAATGGTTTACAGTTGTTTAGAGCTGGGAGAGATGCTACCCCAGGGCCCATATGGATGGATGACCTGCATTTGGGCACAGTTACTGTGAGACCCATAACCATATTTAAATTGAGAGCTGGACAGTACCTAAGTTCCATAAATGCTCAGAAAATAAGGAAAATAAATAAATACCCACTATGCACAGGTCTACTCCTTTCCTCCTTGCAAAAAAAAAAACAACAACCCCTTTTACTAGCAGTAATTTGGCAAAGCCATGCAGGACAAAGAGAGGTTGGTTGACAGAAGCAGACTGATGACTTAGAGGAAGATCAGGGTCACAATCAGCAAAGGAGCTTTCAGGAACACCCAGTGGTTACATTTTAAACTTCCCTAGCTACTTTGGCCTTCCCAGCAGGGTGCAGAAAGAACAACAACTTACCAGAAACAATTGACCCTCTCCTGGGAATAGTCAAATTGCACAGCTGAGCATTCAGTTAAGTCAAGGGCCCGAATTGGTTCTGTGGCCTTGAAAATAAAAGTTTTAAAATGGGAACACATGAAAACAGAAGATAAACCTAGCTTGGTTCATCCTCAATGGATCTAGTCCTTACTAGAGTTTTCCAGGTATAGGTACAGTATATGTAACCCCATAAACCCAAACTAGCAAACATAACATCAGTGCTAATGTGAGACAAATTAAGCAAAGTATAAAAGAATAAGATAGTCAGATCAGATGTAGATAAAAAACAGGGGAGACCTCTGCTGCAGGAAAGCTAGAACTAGATGGAGTGTTTGCAGGTAAACAAGAGTATTCCTTAAGTTGCTAGAACAACTGGTAGTTCTTCCTAAAACTGAAGCCAGCTGGCCTGCACCAGCAGCTGCTAATACAGAGCAAAGTGGGGAGGCTGTGCTCCTGTTCAGTCACCAGGTTTACAGCCAGGAATGGTTTACAGTTGTTTAGAGCTGGGAGAGATGCTACCCCAGGGCCCATATGGATGGATGACCTGCATTTGGGCACAGTTACTGTGAGACCCATAACCATATTTAAATTGAGAGCTGGACAGTACCTAAGTTCCATAAATGCTCAGAAAATAAGGAAAATAAATAAATACCCACTATGCACAGGTCTACTCCTTTCCTCCTTGCAAAAAAAAAAACAACAACCCCTTTTACTAGCAGTAATTTGGCAAAGCCATGCAGGACAAAGAGAGGTTGGTTGACAGAAGCAGACTGATGACTTAGAGGAAGATCAGGGTCACAATCAGCAAAGGAGCTTTCAGGAACACCCAGTGGTTACATTTTAAACTTCCCTAGCTACTTTGGCCTTCCCAGCAGGGTGCAGAAAGAACAACAACTTACCAGAAACAATTGACCCTCTCCTGGGAATAGTCAAATTGCACAGCTGAGCATTCAGTTAAGTCAAGGGCCCGAATTGGTTCTGTGGCCTTGAAAATAAAAGTTTTAAAATGGGAACACATGAAAACAGAAGATAAACCTAGCTTGGTTCATCCTCAATGGATCTAGTCCTTACTAGAGTTTTCCAGGTATAGGTACAGTATATGTAACCCCATAAACCCAAACTAGCAAACATAACATCAGTGCTAATGTGAGACAAATTAAGCAAAGTATAAAAGAATAAGATAGTCAGATCAGATGTAGATAAAAAACAGGGGAGACCTCTGCTGCAGGAAAGCTAGAACTAGATGGAGTGTTGAGGGTTTGGTTGATGCATTACATATGTAACTGATAGCAGCAAATCTGGTATTGTTTCCAGCTAAGGTTTAGAGACCAAGGGATGGTTATAGGTCTTAGCAGACCTAACCAGCTGTTGGAGATTTAACTAATTCCTAAGTGCTTTAAAAGGATGAAGCTGGGTAGAGAGAAATGCATGAAGATAAGTTAAACCAGTGCTTGTTGCAGCAGAAGTGATAAGTCTGACTGTATGAGCAGTGTGTATGTATCTAAGTTTCTTGGGACAGGCTTAGGAATGCTCAGGTGCAGGGATACTGCACTCTCCCTTAAGAGTTCAATTTTCCCTAGGTGTGAGAGTTCTTCTTTGGTTTGTTTCAGCCTCACACTCTTGAGCACCTTGGAAGAGGCAACTCAAAATAGCTTACTCTCTGCCCAAACATCCTTAATTGTTCCTGTGGTACTTCATCAAGTGCATGGAAGTGTCATTTTTTTATCTCACCTTTCCTTATGTTTTCCTCTGGCTCAATGGCTGTTACTTACACATTACACTAGAAGAAAGCCACTTGTGCTGAGCTGTGCTAGCAAATGCTATCCCAGGGCCACCACAGGTTGCTCATCTGCAGGTATCTGCAACCCCACAGCAACAATGGAAGCATGAGGAAATATCAGAGCTGCTGCCAGGAGGAAACTATTCCTGTCAAAGACACCTTCTTGCCTGGTAAGTCACAAATGCTACTTAAACCTTTGGTGTGCTGCCCTTGGACATGCTGACCTGGAAACTCAATTCAAGTTGTCTTGAACTGAAACGAAAACTGTTGGAAGGCTATGTGTCTGTTTATAAATAGTAATGTTTGGTGAGAGAGGGCAGTTGTGACTCCTGTTGTGTTAAATCTGTTGAACAGTTGAAATAGAGGGCTTGGCAGAAGTAAGCACTTTGGCTGTGTTTATGGAGGAAACCAAACTGGAAGTACTGCAAGGGTTGAGGAACTCTAGAGGTACTTCTTATTTTTACTCAGTTTAAGGTAGAAATGGAACAGCAACTGTAAGGCCACACTGTTTTTCTCAGATGCAGCAGATTAATCTATGGCAGAGTGCTAGGAAGAAAGATTTATTTATTTATTTATTTATTTTAATGGTTTTCTATGTGCATTGTGTGATGACTTGAAATAAACAGATGAAATCAAGGCATGCAAAACATCCTGCTGGTATTTTGCAGAAAGATTTTAATGGCATTGATGTCTGTTGGGTTGTGTGTTTAGCTACCACTAAAAGCTGTGTTCTGCTGGTAGCTTACAATCCACTGAACAAAGCAACTCTGACTGACAGATTAAACGTTTTCCAGCTGTAAAACTTCCTCTTGTTTAAGTTATCAGCAAAACTGACTTTATTTGAAAGGTTTGATGCCTCTAACAGTATGGGAAGCTGTGATACAGATGTCAGAAGCCAGAGATAAAAGGAAGCTGCAGTTGCTGTTGCAGAAGTTTAAAGAGTAAAACTTGGTATTTGCTACTTACTGTTTGGTCTTTGAAATACTTTAGCTCATTCCTGTGCAGTGTAAACCACCTTGTCTTCCAATTCTAAAAGATAAAGAATGGATGGTAATTGTCTTGTGAGAATTTGGTATAATGCTTCTTAGGAAAGAAAAACCTCTAAAGCTGTTGATGTGTTTTGGTTTACACTTGTGCTTTGTTGTTGCTCAAAACGTAAATTGTTTGTCTCTGTAGGAGAATGCAGGTGGAACTATTTCAGCTCTGCACTGTCTCTAGCTTCTGTGGGTGGTGATGGCAGAGTGGAAACAAGGAGTAAGTTTTTCTTACCTTGACTATTTTCCCTTGTTTTATCAAATATCCTTCTTTTGTACCAAGCTGCAAAATAACAAGGAAAGCAATTGGGGTTAGAGACTAAGCTTACAGCTTCTATTTACCACTTCCCCCCCACACCTTTGTCTACATCCATAAGATAGAAGAGCAGACTGATCTTGGGGAAATTTCCCATGGCCACTTGCCCTGTCCTCACTCCTGTTCACCACTCACACAGCTGGATCCACTACTAGGATAAATATGGACCAGGGTAGGCTCTAAAGGCAATCTTAGACTGTGCCTCCTTCCACAAGCTTCCGGCCTGCATCTTCTCAACCAAATGCACAAAAATAGTTGCACTTCCAGTTTATTTAGTAAAGTTAGATGGTTACCTCAGTCCATGTACCCAGAAGCACCTGGAGTTTAGCTGACAGTGGAATTAACCACAGGAATCACTCTTGAAATACAAGTGGGGGGAAAAGTGCTGTTTTACTTAGACATTCTCTTCTCCAAAGCTGCCACATTTGAGAGGAAAAAACCTTCTATGTTTAATGTGTTTAACGAAAAACTGTTTTTTGAACCATTTCTCTACCAACATGAGTGAGCTGGGACTTCGACTTCTCAGCTGTGGAAACTCTGTGTAGGGACCTAGTTGTGAGACTGCAAACCTCTGAAAACCAAATTCTTGCTAACTTAAGTACTACTTACTCTTCAAAAAATACTGCCTTTTTACTGGTTGTACATGGAAATTGAGTTTCTATGGAGGTTAAAGTGGAACTCGGCGATGAATTGTTAGTTGTAAGACACATCAGAAGTGTTTTTTTAATCAACTACATTAACCCGTATTAATGTAACCCTTTCTTTCTCAAAAAAAATATAGTATGTAATCAAAATACTTTCTGTTCTGAGCAATACTGTTCTGGAGAAACCACCTGTCTCATTTAGATATGAGTTAATAAGGATTGAAAGTCTCTAATTACTGCCCAAGTAAGTCACAGATGTCAGGGCAGGTGGCCCGAGAGGATATGAAGATGTTCTCTTGTATCTCACTCCAGTACGGCACAGTGTTTAACATGACACAGCTCACTACCGGGCTCAAAATTACCAGGGCTGAAAGTGTGGAGGCTCTTCTGTTATCTCAGTCTATTTTGGGTTTAAGTCTGTGTCAGAATACAGCAAGCTGTCTTCCTGCTTTAAGCCAAGGTGATTAAAAAATAATAAAATCCAAGAGGGAAAATGCCAAAAAAGTAATATCAAGTAACATACCTACTGGGGTGTAGATACTCTTATTAACTTGGTTGTACTGTGCTTTAGTCTGGGATTTCATTTTCCAATCATGTTCCTGCCTATCTTGCACATCTTTGAATATTATTTTCAAAAGGCTACTTTTTAATTGACTTAGAAAATTAGGAAGGAGACTGTATACTGCTAACTGGGAAAAATAATTCTAACAAAAAAAAGGCTGCAAAAATAATAAGTAGTAATGAGTTCATGTCTGTAAGGACTACTATCTCTTTCTTGTAATCTAATCCTCATACTCACTGAGTGAAATAAAATATAGTAAATTCTGTAGCTGTTACTTGGTTTTGCTTTTTAGTGTATTCCTTTCCTCACTTAGGGGTGGGGTCAAGAAAGACTTTCCACTGGCTGTAAAGGATCTTTAGCAAAACAGGGGCTTACTGTGCAACCTGACATGTGTATCCTCAGATACAGCCTGATGAGCATGGTCAGAAAGATGTGAGAAGTGTTGTGTTTGTTTTGTGTGGTGGCTTGGTGTGTTTTTTGTGTTTTTTTGTTTGTGGATAGATGATGGTAGGGCGGTAGATGTGGCTTATCTTGATTTCAGTAAAGCATTTGGCACTGTCTCCCACAGCATCCTCATAGATAAGCTAAGGAAGTGTGGTCTTGATGATCAGGTGATGAGGTGGATCATGAACTGGTTGAAAGGAAGAAGTCAGAAAATCAGTGGGACAAAATCTAGTTGGAGGTCTGTGACTAGTGGAGTCGCTTAGGGGTCAGTACTGGGACATCAACGACCTGGATAAGGAAACAGTGTGTGCCCTCAGCAAGTTTGCTGATGACACTGAACTGGGAGGAGTGGCTGACACACCAGAAGGCTGTGCTGCCATTCAGTGAGACCTGGACAGGCTGGAGAGTTGGGCAGGGAGAAACTTGATGAAATTCAACAAGGGGAAGTGTAGAGTCTTGCATCTGGGGAAGAACAACACCATGTCCCAGTACATGTTGGGGGCTGACCTGCTGGAGAGCAATGTAGGAGAAAGGGACCTGGGGGTCCTGGTGGACAGGAGGATGACCATGAGCCAGCAATGTGCCCTTGTGGCCAAGAAGGCCAGTGGCATCCTGGGGTGTGTTAGAAGGGGTGTGGTTGGTAGGTGGAGAGAAGTTCTCCTCCCCCTCTATTCTGCCTTGGTTAGGTTACATCTGGAATATTGTATCCAGTTCTGGGCCCCTCAGTTCAAGAAGGACAGGGAACTGCTTGAAAGAGTCCAGCACAGAGCCACAAAGATGAGTAAGGCAGTGGAACATCTCCCTTATGAGGAAAGGCTGAGGGGGATGGGTCTCTTTAGCTTGGAGAAGAGGAGACTGAGGGGAAACCTCATCCATATTTACAAATAAGTTAAGGGCAAGTGTCTGGAGGAAGGAGCCAGGCTTTTTTCAGTGGTGCCCAGTGATAGGACAAGGGGTAATGGGTGCAAACTGGAGCGTAGGACGTTCTGTGTAAATATCAGAAAAAACGTCTTTACTGTGAGAGTGACAGAGCACTGGAACAGGCTGCCCAGAGATGTTGTGGAGCCTCCTTTGCTGGAGACATTCTAAACCCACCTGGATGGGTTCCTGTGTGATGTGCTCTGGGTGATCCTGCTCTGGCAGGGGGGTTGGACTAGATGATCTTTCAAGGTCCCTTCCAACCCCTAAGATTCTGTGGTTCTGTGAATTCCTGATAAAGTTCCTGCTAAGATAGCTTTCTAAAAGGAAGATAAGCAAAAAAGAAAACCTTTCATAGATTCTTTGTGTGGGTGGTCAAACTCACCTAGGTCAGCTACAGACAATGTTTTCCCAGTGACAGCACTGAAGGTCTCAGTGCCATGACAACGGTTAAAGGCTTTATTTGTCATGGCACTGTACTTAGCAGGTCTGTTTGTTTCATCTTGGTTGGCAAAGACTTCCTGCATATACAAACCCATACAGGGATGAATGACTGGTGCTATTCCATAGCTCACTCCAGCAATCATACTAAACTCATGCCAGGATAAGCAGCCCTCCCACCAGAACACAACTTACTGAAGGAGCATTTGGAACAAGATCACTTTCTGTCCTTCCCGTCTGCATTGCTGTGTGAACTCGGACAGACTCGTAAATGGAAGGTTCTTCTACTTCCCGTGGGTAGGGATGCTTCAATACAATTAAGGTTCCTGGAGAGAAAGACAGCAGGATTAAGTCAGCTGGCAAGACAGCCTTAGAAAATAACAAGTAATAGCTGCCTGCTTGTGGAACAGTTAACTTCACATTTTCCTAAAATTAAAAAGGCGTAAGAGGTAATAAACTCCCTGAGATCTCTGCGACACTCCCTGTTAAGGGTTTTTCCTTGGGCAGGACTCAGGCCACACCTACATAAGAAAACAATCAGATCCTATAAATTGCTCTCCTGTACCATTAAAACTAGACTAGTATTTCTAACATGCATTGTCTGAATAGTTTAGATTTTGTGAAGGGTATTTTCTACAAAAACCCACCCATGCAAACTACAGAGGGACACTTGCTGTTGGATTCACTTGCCCAGTCTCACTTCCTTGGCTCTGTTGTCCTGCTCAGTCTTCAATACTTTGGGCACCTGGGCCTCATCTAAATCTGTATCCTCATCCCTGTACAGAGGGAGTCAACTTGTTCGTGCATCTCTGAAAACGAGTGAAAACCCTCTCTGTTTCTTCTAAGCAGTTGATAATTAAAGCTCTTCTGCAATGCATATTAGGTGGCAAAAAAATCAAGATAGCAACAAAATGAGACCATCACACAACCCTCAAAGGCCAGTGTCCCCAGTCCTGCTTGAACCTCCCTTCTACTCAGGGAGTAACAAGATAATACAGAACAAACTGAAACACACATTTCATAGTTACAGCTGAAATGCTGACCTACATGTGATCTGCACTTTCACTGCATTCACGAAGATGTGCCTACTAGCGTTATCACACTTGTTCACATGCAACTGTGACAAATGTAAATATATGGTACCTTTGTGAAACCTTTACACTTCCTAGTGCTTGCAGGGTATCACTGGACACACAGAATTCCCTTCCTGCACAGCAGACTGGCTGTGTGGGTAGGCAGGATGCTGGACTAGATATGAGGGTCATAACAGTCATCCTGGTTTTGCCAACAACCCACTGCTTGCCCTGTAAATCACTTCATTTGTCAGAGCTTCAGCTACAGATTTCCTAAATGTAGCCCACATTACCACCACCTTTAACTGTTTTACCATAGCACTTTCCAGTTAGTACCATTTGATTATAGCCATTCTTTTTTCTCCAAATAAGGTCATATTTATTGCACACTCTCTGCAAAAAGCTGCAATGAATCTATTACACTGTTCACAATAGTGAAGAATCTCCTTAAAATAGTAACTGCTAAACCACCTCATTTAATTATTCATAAATAATACTGCAGCTTATCAAATGCTGCTCCATTTGCATCTTATGCTGATGCTGTCAGTCCTTAAAGAGGAGGGATGGTAGAATTTGTAAGAACTTGGACTTGTAACCTACAGGTGGTTGAGTTTAAAGTGTATTTTGTAATGGGAAGACTATAAGAGGGAACAAAAAAATGCATAGGAAGTAAAAAACTGAAATCTGTTTGCAGGCACAGCAGGTGTACGAAAATGCAATAAAATCAACTCAAAGCAGAACAGTCAAAATCAATTTAATTCTCTCTGACCTTGCAGAAAAATAATACTTTTTAATTTAAAACGAAATTCAGAACACACCAATCACCAGTCTACAGAAAATACTTGCAGGCTGTTGCACAGAATCAGAATACCACCCTCTGTTCAGCATGGATAAAAAGCCCTGTTGCAGAACTGGGAGGAGCATTTTATGCAGTATTTTCTAGTAAGTTTTCCACCTTTTTTTCTCCACAAAAGATACTTGTAAAGAATCACCTGGTAGCTCTACAAAAGAACTAGCAGAAGCTGCACTGTAAGAAGATTCTTCTTGCATGTTTGTCTATGATACCTATTTCTAGGGCAGAATTTAGTCCCATGTTAGTTTCAAGCGACTGTGGCTTTTTTGTCTGTAATAACTTTATTTGTTTGCTTTCAAAATAATTGAGATAAAACCTGATAAAGCAAACAGGTAACAATAACATGTTGACCTTGTCACTCTTAATAAAAGTTGTTGATTTAACTTCGTTAATGATAGATTCAGCTTGCCTGCTCAATAAACTATCCCACAGAACACACCAGCCCCAAATTCCTTTTAGTTATCTGCAGTTCAGTAGGAAATGTACACATTACACTGCAGAAAAACTGTGAGTCCATATAGGAATTTGGAGTGGCAAATGAAGCTGTAGTCAGACAAGGTTTGTTGGGCTTGAAGCACAAGCCTGCATTTGTCCCAGTACAAAACAACCACTGGAACTCCATGGACCAGCTGGCAGGCATGCAGGCCTGTGTGGTCAAGTGCTGATGAAAGAGAGCCTTCTTCAGACACAAAACTAGCTCCAGTGAGACAAATTAAAATGGTATAGTGGAAACCATTACATATTTCTATCTCACAGAATGACAGAATAGTTTGGGTTGGAAGGGACATCAAAGATCATCTAGTTCCAAGGTCCCCTGCGTGGGCAAGGACACCTTCCCCTAGACTATGTTGCTCAGAGCCTCATCCAACCTGCCCTTGAACACTTCCAGAGGGGGACATCCACAACCTCTCTGGGTAACCTGTGCCGGTGTGTCATCACCCTCACAGTAGAGAATTTCTTCCTAATGTTTAATCTAAATCTACCCTCTTCCAGTTTGAAACTCTTCCCCTTGTCCTATTACCAAATTCCCTGTACAAATCCATCCCCAGCTTTCCTGTAGGTCCCTTTCAGGTACCGTATCTTGTGTGTCTCTCTGTCTTATAAAATCCTGTCCATGAGCAAGGAGGAGATGAAAAATGTTATCTTCGTTTACTCTCTCATTCCTGATCCCACAGTGTTTCTATAGAAAATTGTTTACAAGTATAACATCTGAAGGAATATTGCCTGAGTGCTAACTCTCTCTTCATCTCTCCTGCTATCCATGGTAATGTGGAAGGTTTCTTGTGATGTTCAGACGACTTTTCTTATTCTGCAGCACATCCAACTTAAAGAGGTTTCACAGAGCCAGCAGAATCTTATTGGGGAGCTGGAAGGTGACAAGTGAGCCCATCATTCAGCAGTGCTGATCTTGTTCTCAGAGATCACATAACACCAATGGCTGGATTACTAATGCCTAACACATGCAGTGAAGGAATGGGGAAATACAAGTTTTATATGTCATCTGAAATCTTTACAGCATGAGGCCTGTGGGTGCATGTTTGATTTCACAGGGAAAATGGCTTACTGGCACAAAAGATACATGTAGGAACTGTGTTTGAACCACTCCTAAAAGCAATTTCAGAAGAACATGCTTGGAAAAATACAAGTGCCATATTGAGTGAACCCCTGCATTTTTCTTGGAGGTGGAAAAAAAACAAAGCAAAGCAACCCTTGAATTTAATGCTTGAGTTAAAAGAACACTGGTGCATATTTAGTGTGTGACATATTATAGTTACTGTATGCATCAACCATCATTTAACTGGTCTCTTGCATATATAATTAGAACTACTCTGAGTTATTTGCATACACTTTCTACACAAGAATACTTAAGTTTTTGGCACTAACTTGTACTGACAGATCTTCAACTCTTACATTTGAAGCTACACCTAAAACTGGCATTATCATACTCTGCATCTGTTTCTCCAGGGATTCCAGTCTGGTGGTGTTCAACTCACTTACAGGAACCAAATTTAATCTTCTGACTCTTAATTCAGGAGCATGAAAGGAGCCTATGTTTTTTCTCTTTTTCTTAAAAACAAGACAAATCACTGTAATGACAGATGGCATCAGCAGGCTGATCCACTGTAGACAGGGAGCAGGAGTAAAGGCCACATTCCCTAAAGGAAAGAGGAACCTATCAGTATAGATTTCTTCCTTGGATGAAGAATACTGGAACTAAACAATTTCAAGTCCATTCTCCTTTTACTCTTATCAGCAGATCTCATTATTTCCTCATATAAATCCTGCTTTGATTTTGCCCTTTTTGAGAAGGTTCTGTTCCTCCCAGTACATGTGTATTTTGAAATGCTTTCTTCTCTCTCTGAGAAATCAAAAGGTGCTCATGTCCCTGGTTAGCAAAATACCCTGTAACCTTACACGTATTGTTTTTCTTCAGAGTACTTGAAAGAGTTTTTAAAGAGGAACATCGTGAATACCTGAGTTAATACAAATGTGAGTTTCAGAAAAGTAACACTTGAGCAGTCAGATCTGTTTGATAACACATTGGAAGCTCCTTTTACTTAGAGCTGCATGAAGCATGACTACAAATGTGTTCATACAAACATACAGCTCTCCTTACCTGTTTCACTTCCAATTAAAGGCTGGTTTGCAAAATGCATGACTAATTCCTTCAAGCTAGAAAATTCATTAAATCCGAATTTGAATGAAGTTCCTGTATATTCAATGTGGAAGTGTTTCACAGAATCTTTTCCCCTAAAATAAAAAGGGAAAATTTGTCAAGGCATAAATGCCAAAGGCATTTGGAACGTACAAGCCTTAAATAGCAGCTTCTACTACTGGAAACCTGGCCTAGACCACAGGCTGACCATCACTGTCCTAGAAGTAATACTACTGCTATTACCATCCCTCATTAATATGCAACACATCTGAGGCTCAGATTTATTGAGAAAAATCTAACTGCTGCTTTACAGGTATGAGATGATGAAAGTCTAGAAAGGCCAAGCAAGTTAAATTAACTCTGGCAGCAATCAGTGAAAAGACTCACAAATGAGGTTTCCAGCCTTCTGTCTATGCAGGATGACATCCTTTCACTTACAAGGTCTTGAGAGTTTACCTACATTACTTGGTATGTCTTACCTCTCAGGTAACATCCCACTCTCACCAAAAATGTCTTCTGTTTCTCTTTCAAAAATAGGCTGCCTCCTTTTTGCACCTGAACAGAGATTTAATATTCTAACTTTAGATACCTAGAGCTGTAGAATTTGTCTGTGTACTCAGATGGACAGTTCCTCTATGGTGGGTACTGTCAAAACATGAACCAGGGTCCTTTGTCGGGAAGTAACAGCATCTGCTTATGAAAGCTGATGGCATTTAGAGAAGTGTGCAAGGCCTCACTTCCTGGACAGGCAATTTTTTTTTTTACTTCAGAAGACAGTGAGGCACTTACTCCAAGTATCTCTCATGTGAAAAAGTTACTTCTGTTAATATTACTAGTATCCAAAATAGTCCAGAGAGAACTTTGAGAAAAAATGCATGTAGCAAATATACTGAAAATATCTTGAAGGAATTTATAGTATCTTTTCCATTTTTATTGCCACTTCCATGGGAGTTTATAATACCAAAGAGATATTTAAATAAATACTTACATTTGAACAGTACTGGTGATACTGTACAACATGCCTTTACTGACCTCACTTGTTTTGTGTTACAGTCAGCTGAGGCACAATGAGTGTGAGCCAAGTGCAGATGTTCAACAACAGCAAATAGCTGCTCTGACTCTGCTGCAATTATAAGGTTTTCATATTTAATTTCACAGGAAATACAATGTTGCAATGAAAGCAACTTCTACTCTATTTCCTAGCTCCTTTTAAAAGTTGGGTAATCTAGCTGGAGGAGATTTCAAGAAATATATAATCTCTCTTCTTATAGCTGTCAATAAAAACCTCAAGGGACATTTAAGCATTGTTCCCTTTTACAACAAACTATAGTAATGACTGAAGCTCCTTGTGAGGCAGAGCAGAAAGTAAAGTAAAAGCTATAGAAGGCATTTTAAGAGAGAAAGAAAATGACAGCTAGAATTGCTCAAGTTATCTTTTCCACACAAATTTATCAAAACAAAATTGAATTACTTATTCTAAAATTAAGCTTTATTATTAGTAAAAAAATGCAAAGAAAAACTTAGAGGTAAACAAACAGTAGAAAATTACTAAAACACTTTAAAATCACAACCAGCATTTCAAGTGAGCTATACCACCAAAAAATAATGTAACAGAATAAAAGATTAGACTCCAGTCTGGGATATTGAGTTCATATGGTAATGCAGTAAGACTAGGAATTGGGAGATTGGAATTGGCCTGAAGTAGACTTTAAAAAGTATTCTAAGGCTAGAACTCATTACAGCAGCAGACCTATTTTCATAACTTACATTTAAGCTTCTGTTATTAAAAGAACAATTTATTACAGTAAGTTGTTTCCCGAGTGCCCTTTAAAACTAGCTTCAAGATACGTATTTTTTTTAATTGTCTAAGGTAGATTACCTCAAATAATATTTAGTTACATTTTAAAGTAAAAATAATTGACCAGCAAGACAATAATTCATTTAAAATTATTTTTTTTCAAGGATAGCTGTTGCTTATACATCTTTCTATTCTTTTTCTTAAAATTTCCACTCAGTTCAGTCATTGCTACTTTGAAGACTCATTTTGTAACACCACCTTCAAATTCCTCTGGCACCATGCCCCTCAAGCTCCTGGTATATGGCTGTCTACAATGGTAATAATTTCTGCACTGTATGTGCAGGCACACTTGCTCCTGGCTCTTCTGTTAGTGAAGCAACTCATATATGCCTTTAAGACCTCTGGGGAATGGGGTATGTGCAAACTGCACTTTCCTCACTTTCCAAGCGAGTACAGTTCCAAACTATAAGCAGCTCCTGGTACTGAATATGTAGAAAATCACAATTTCAGGGGCATACACTGTGTTCCTATCTATTAGGGTTGTGAATAACTAGCACCATTATACTGATCAATGTGATTTAAGCTTAAAAAGATACTGTGATTAAGCTGAGCCGTAGTCACTAATTGTTCAGAGGCCCAGTGTAAGGCCGAAATGAGTTTGAAAATCTCACTGTATATTTACTTAATGTATAATACAGTTGCCAAAGGCTAAGAAGGTCGTTAGGGACGTCTGACACTTGCGAAATACCGCTGGTATCAGTCATGCATTCCTGGGTAAGACTGAGTCTCAGCCCAGAACGGAGGAGCAGAACCATCCAGTCAAACACTGGATCATCCCTCAGAGATGATAGTACCTACACAATGATCCAGAAACTGATGAAGTTAGTGCCAGTTAACTGGCATATTAATTACTATCTTCATAATAGAACTCTTCTACTCCCACCACCTGTTACATAAACTCTCTTAACTGCCATATAGATTTTTATCATGCAGACCGAAAGTCTGTAGCCAATCCATGGAATGATGTTTTTCGCCAGTGAGATTAATTCATAGTTTGGAAAAATGAGAGCAATTTTCATATCCAATCCAATTATTTGTTTATTCTAACAAAAGGTTGGGAAAAATCTATTAGGAATATATATTAAAATAGTTAAAGGCAAGTTCTAGGAAAAAATCTGCAGCACATCTCAGTGCATCAGATATGCAGACAAACATGGGAGTAAGTGAAGATCTTAAAACTGCTAGTTGTGTGGCACTAGATAAATTTACTTCTGTCCATACTCTACCTTACAGAGAGGGAGTACAAATCTTCCCTTTCATTACTTTTCCTCAAGAGATAGCTTCCATCCTGCCCGTTGGAAAGCAGCAGCGCTTCTGCTGCGTGTCGGGTAAGATTATCATGGTACCACCTGGGAAGACACAATGGGTTAAAGCATCATTTGCTTCTGCTGCATTAGAGAGGAAGAGGAAGGACTGCAACTAACATGACTACAGTTTTGAGTTATCTTTCTCACAGGCACACACAGAACTGCACTCCTTTCAGCACTCCTTTTGATACACTCAGAAGACTTTATTTTTTGTTAACTACAAAGTTTAGTATAAACAGCTGACATTTTGGTGAACCTAAAAACCCTGCAAATTTTCCTTGTATAAGCAACAAATTACCCAGGCCTATATAGGCAAGGTGAAAGCAATTTTGGGAGGCACACAGGACCCTTTGTCTATTTTCAGAACCTGTACTTCCTGACATATCTACACGCTTTGGTACACTTCCTCTTTTGGGGCAAACAAGCAACACTCAAACTCCACGTTTCCCACAACTCAGTTTATCTGCACTGCTAAGATCTGCAATTAAATGTATTTGCCTAAGCTTAGAGTTTTCACTTGAAGCCTAACCTTTCTGGAAGAAGGAACAGAGGATGGGACCAAAATGAACTGACAGAATTTGAAGTGAAAAATTCAGGAAATCTCACCATCGTTGTGGCATGGTAACATCATGGTCTGAGCAATGCAGGAAAACATCTAAACGCCTGCTTCATTTAACTTCAGTTAAAACTAATTTATTTATATGAAAAATTCCACAAGGCATCTATAGAAAAAAAATCCTGGAAGGAAGATAATTACATGTTTACAGCTTCGTTTCCATCCAGAATGATTCACAACAGAAGCATTATATTACTTTCAATAGAAAGGGATCTCATTAGAAATGATCCTGAGACCAAACACAAAAAAGAGATGCAGCTATATGAGGCTGGCGTGCCAATCCTGTAAGAGATGCTGCCTGCAGAATTAATGATAGTTCCATACACAAATAATGTTTAAAGTGCAGTTTTAAATTTTTGCTGACAAGGTTACACCAGTCATCTTGCCTAAATATGCTGCCTCAGACAGAAATTCCTCAAATGTTACCATGTTCCTATTACTCAGCTTAAAAAGTAGAAGTGGGGTGTGAGACAGTAATACAGATCTTAATGCAAAAGTGCCTGTGTTATACACAGCTAGTTTGGGGTTGTTTTTTTCTCCTCCCGATTGTCACAGATGGTTTGATCAGTAACAACTACCAGGTTACTGGCACTGTGAAAATGGTTGCTCAGTTTTCTTCAATTGCATAAAGGTAACCCTTAAAAATGCTGTGAAAAATGTAGTGTTTATACACAGACCACCAGGAAGGCAGTTAAATACACACCTAAGCAAGTAGTCTGCTCTCCCAATCAAGCCTGCATGACACAAATACACAGATGACATAAATACAAAGATGACGCAAATACAAGTAAACAAGACTTAAAAAGAAAACCAAACAGCCCTGTGATTAGGCACTACTTTAAGTATTTGTAAGAGAGGGAATCCTTTTATTCTGTTTAGAAAAAAAAAAATAAAAATGGGGGCAGCTCTTCGAAATTTGCAGATAAATTAAGGTGGAAGATATGGTTCACTCAGCAAGATATGGTAAATGCCAGTCACCATTAGCTTAAGTTTGGGTTGTTTTCTCAATTATACCTGTGGGGGAAACTGTTGATAGAAACTGTTCTGTATCTACCTTCTTGCTTAAAACAAGAAATGAATTAAATCAAAAGGCTTTACAAATGTCTATCTGTTTGAAGTCCCTAGTAAGTCCTGCAAAAAGCTGGTCTTAACTTTTGTTTTCAACCATGGTGCGTATCTTGCATATTGGGCAGTTTCTGAAGATCCTTCCAAAAGTCATCTTTATTTAACCCAACTGATAAAGTCTTGTATTCACTACAAAAAACATCCAGGGATATGCCCTCTACTTAGACACTTTTAAGACTGAAAATCACCAGTAACGTAGAAATTGCCTGAAGTTCCTGATTCAGAGTTCTCTGAAGAAACACCAGAAGAAAGAGAGGAAAGTCTTTCCCTGCTTCAGAGCCACTTCTGCTGGCTTCCCTTGGCCTTGCACACCCTCCTGTCTCAAATGCATATATACTTCTGGGAAGTTTTTCTTATGGTTTTGTTTATCCTATTAAAAAATCTCCCCTTTTTTTGTTCCTTATCACTGATTTAACTAGTGATCTCAGCTTCAGAGCTTCTAAATGCTGTCACTTATCTGTTCTTGGTACTTTAACTTTGTTCTAAACTTCATTAAATCTCTTTATCTCATACTCATAAGCATGTTTGTGTTGTGAGTGCTTGTTCTTGAAGGACCATGCTATTCTTACTGGTCTTCAGAGTGGAAGAGTCTGCTGGGCCCAGGAAAGCATGTCTGAAGGTGGGCATATGGAGCCCCAATGAGATTACCTTTGTTTCTCCTTGGAAAAGAAAGCAGTTTCAGAAATTGGCCTACTCTTTAGATTAGATTTGCATCAGTGACAGCCTAGGAAGGGCTTTACTGACATTGCTGTTAAGAGGAAGAGAAAGAAAAGTGTACAGTGCTCCAGAGAACCAAAACTCACCAGGGCAAAGAATGCTGTCCTAAGGATCTGCCCACTCGGTCACCAATGGGGTTCTTTCACAGGGTAAGCTGGTGACAGCCATAGGGCAAGCTATGTCTGCAATGGTTGGCTGTACCACTGCAGCTGTGCTAACCACCACAGAAAAGGACACACTTGCATAAAAATCTGTGCTTTCACTAAGATCCTTTTCTAGTTAATGCAGTGACTAGACCTCCCTACGTGATGAGGAGTATGTCAACACCAGTCTTTGGAATGGGAAATGGCCTCTTCAGGCTGGAAAAAATCATCTTCCAAATGTTCATTTGTTCTCTTCTTTACCAAGCCAAGATGTTTCAAACAAAAATGTTAATGAAATTTCATTTCTATGTCCCCTGCAGATCAGACAGCCCTTAAGTATGGCATCTGTCATTTCTCACAATGGTGTTGACAAACAAACAATATGGTTTCTTTGCAAAATACTTCTGCCTGTGTAAATAGGGACTGGGGAATAAACCTGTAGTTGGCATCAAGTGGATTAACTTTTTAACAGCATCGGAATCCACAAGAAGCACAAACACTCATCCATGGTTAACCCAAGGATGAATGTTGACTGACTCGGCTAATTCACTTCTCAGACGTTTCTATGTTCGGACTGCGTAACACCCAGTAGAAGCACTTGCTTTTCTTCCTCATAAAAATGAAAGATAGCACCAGAAGAGAGCACAGCTGAAGTTCTGACTGCCATCTGGTTTTAGTGTCTGGAGTGGAAACTCTGAGCTATGTTCAGCTGATAAGTACAGTAGACAGAAGTCACACTCATTTTTTTGTGTCCTCATCAGATCATGTTCATAGAATCACAGAATCCTAGGGGTTGGAAGGGACCTCGAAAGATCATCTAGTCCAACCCCCCTGCCAGAGCAGGGTCACCTAGAGCACATCACACATGTTCTCAAGATAGTTATAGCCTGGATAGAGTTAGAAACTGTGGGCATGTTTAGCTTGCTTTTCTAAAGAGTCAGACACTTAAAGTTCCTTCTCTGAAGCAGAAAGGAGATTCCCAACCTTTAGCCAGGTGATCTCTCTGTGCCCTTCCCAGGAGGTCCCTCCACTACTGCAGAAGGTGCAACACTGCTTGTGCTCCTCACAAGCAAGTGATCAAGTGTGGGTGATTATCCCTGTGGAAAGCTCAGCATCCCTTGGCTGCCTGAGAAGCAAGAGCCCAGCAGAAGCAGCAGATCTAATGCATCTTTGAAAGGGAACACAGATCTACATTAAGGAGAGATGATCCAGTTCTCACTAGGACTTCAAGATTATACTGAGCAGCTTTACCCCAGGGTTGGTTGGTTAGTTAGTTTGAGGGTTTTTGTGGTGTTAGCTGTTGGCAGGTTCTAAATTTTTTTGTATTAAAAAAAGTATCTTCTACCACAATTAGTTGAATTTTCCTACACTTTGAAACTATATTCTAGCCTCAAAGACATATTCCCATTCTTAGTTTAAAGAAGTAGTACACTGTACTGCTTAATGGAGTGAGTGGGACAGCCCTAAGTCATCTCTTCTGGCTGGATGCAATGCTCTTCCTGTGCCTGTACTCCAAAAATGATGCTACAAACTAGTCTCACTAGCTCTCAGTTCTCTGCCTGCTGGGTTTCAGATCAGATCAGTCAAGATATCATGGGGTTTATTTTAACATTTTTCCTAGTATAAAATCCTGGAAGCATTACCTATCTTTTCAAAGTCATGAAGGGCACTACCTCATGTCAGTAAAAGTGAAGTTTTGGCAATGTATTTAATGGCACTTGAGTTGACACAGCTTTAGGGAACCTACAAAACAGAATACTAAGACAGAACTTACAGGTCACATACAACCAAAACTGGTATTTATTAGACATCCTTTCAATCTGTCATGCTGAGACACTTAATCACACACCTATGCAAAGTACTTTGTTGGAACACAGGGGTGCCATTTCACAGGAAAAATAATTTAGAAATATAAGGAAGTAACATCAGTGTATCCAGCCTCACATTTTATGTATTCTAAATGTAGGCTTTCACTAGTTCAGTTTCTGCTTTTCACTTCCATTTTCTCACCCCCTTTTTTCAACTGCCTTTGTTCTGATTGTCACCCATTTCTTCTGCCCACTTTCCAGCTGCCATAATTTTGCCCTCGTTCAAAACAGAAATATAGATGAAGAAAAAAAATTCTTATGACCATTTGCCCTGTCCCAGTCCTATGAGTTCCTCAGTTGTCCAATTTTATCACCATCTGATCTAGGACTGTGGTCTAATTTCTCTTAGTAAAACTAAGCTTTAAGTATAATTCCATCTTACAAATACCACCTGTCATGTTATTGTCATGTGGAGCTGGAGGAATGTATAAGCTGTGCTTCAAAGGATGACAAAGAATGCTCAGACTGCAAAAGGAAAAAGGTTACAAAAACGTGTTTCCTCTTGCCCCATTCCTTTCACCTCCAAAAGACAGTGTTGCTCAAGTTAGGCTATGTTGGGACCAAAGCTGTGTTACCAGACCAGCCTGTAATTACTGAGATGGCAGGATACTCCACATTCTCATCTCTTGCGCAAATAAAGTGAACTGCCACACGGAATTCCCCAAACTCACTCTATACGTGATCAGCTACAGGAGCTCCACACTGCTGTGTGCAGGCTGTTTTTACCAGTAACAGCAATAAATGTGATTGGAAAAAGGGTTGACTCTATAAATATGAAAATACTGTTATTATTATGTCTCCTCTGACAACTTCAGTGCTCCCTTTAAAATATTTTGGTAGATCTGGGGAAGAAGTTAATGAATGAGGTAACATATTTTGCACCACATGTTCTGATTTTAATCTTCCTTTTCATCAGCCATCAGTTCTACCTATCAACACCTTGGCAATGAAGCTGAATTGTCACTTTGAATTCTAATTGTTTGACCACCCAAATTCTCCAAATAAGCATCAGCCACCATTTTCCTTCAGACTGAATGAAATAGTTTTTTCATTTATTAAAAAAGCCAAACCCATAACTCCTGCTTTCTTTTCTTGTGATGAAACAGGTAAGAAAGTCCATCTTTACAAATACTGAGGCTCTGGAAAAAAAAAATCCAACCTGAAAAACAGCTGTAGGCATATCTAGATCCTTTGGTGACTGTGATTGTCCTTGACTAACTGGGATTGTTAAAAATTATTTCTTCATTTCTTTTTTATTTATTTTTGGTGACAGATAGGATACCTCTATAGCAGGGGTAAAATTAAGATAGTTTTTGTACATACCAACTTTTTTTCTCCCTCCTTCCTGCTTTGCTCTCATCAGCTCACATATTCTCAGTGTAATTACAGAAGCATTAAATCTAGAACAATCCAACAAACGCCAGGTCCTCCAAACCTAGCAGAAAGCTAGACAGGTTTTACCCTTTATACCTTTCTACATTGCTGCCACTTTTCCATTTTGATGTCCAACAGACCGGGCAAAATATGAGGATATCCTAGTACCAAATCTCCTTTCTTTTTAAAAATAACGAATATGTGCTTCCCATTTCACACTTATTCAGACCTGTAACTTCTGCTTTACTGTGCAACAATCAAAGAAGCTCTAAAATAAACTGCTTCAAATTCATCCCCCCCCAAAGGCATGTGAATTTCAAAGCTGTTCCTTATTTGAATGACATTTGCCTCTGTTGATCTTTACTATGGTAATGACGTATATTCCTCACCAGAATCGGGTCTCAGTTGTGCTTTATACCAGGTGGGTTGTAAGGGGAATTTAGAACCATGACAGCACCAGGAGCTAAGTTTAAGATACTAAAACCTTGTAGTGGCTGGGAATTTAATGCTGTGGTCTGGATAGTGACACACCTACTTCTCGCAGCTGAAAAAGTATTTACATTAAGAGATCTTTTAGACTATGCTACCATAATGTTTGACGTGTAAGGATTTCTTTTTCCTCTTCAGGGAAAAAAAAAAATAATAGAAAAATTAAAAAAGACTTTAGTACTAGCTGGAAAAGGGCTTTGTTTAATGATATGAATGGAACCTTTGCTTGGCATTGCTTATTTACCTTACTGCCTTTCATTCAACACTTTGTCCTGAAGGATATGTTTAGTATTTTGTGGTAGGGTGCAAAGTTTAGCTTTTCCACTGAAGCGGAAATAAAATTAAGAAGCTACAGCTTTAAAAATGTGTATTTTTAGCCTTCTCACTGGAATCACATCAGGTAACATGTAAGCTGCAGTCCTACAAGATCATCTATTGGGACAAACTCTTTGTCAATCAGGAAGGCTGTTTACAAGCACGGGTTACTAGCAAAAATCAACTCAGTTTTTATTGAGTCTAACTCAATAAACGTCTGGTCATCGGGAATCACACTTCCCACAACAGCTGCCACTTTTTTTAATTATTCTTTTTTTTCTGTAGATACTTTTTAGGACTAGTACAATCTTACAGATGTAAAGGAAAAGTATGTAATGGCCACTCTGTGTACAATCGCAAAGCGATTTTACTCCATTTCATATTTCTTAGATGCTTCAGTAAAGCATTTCACTAATAGGCTGCTCTAAATATGGGAAAATACCAGCAGTGTGGAGACAGTAATACCAAGTCTCTTCGTTGCATTCCAGTGTCTTCACCAAGTGAGTGAATAATGAAAATAAATGACGTGTTGTTCCTTATCCAAAATACCTTTACTTTTTGTCTATATTTGAACGCAGAGGTGCCACCAGAGCCTTTCCTTTGACAGTATCTTCACTGGCTTTCTTCTGCTTTGTGCCCCTTCGCTTTGCTGCCACGGATTCCTCCCTCCCTGGTGCCCTGTGCCCACCCGTCTTGCTCCTCCAGCCCGTTTCTTCCCCCCCACAGCAGCGCTGGTGGCGAAAACCAACCCCACCCCTCCTCTTGTGAGAAGCGAGACTTAACCGGCAGGCGAAATGAACGAGTCACATCGCACCGGGAGCGAGGTCTGTGCCAGCCCTTGGCCTTCCCTTTTGCCCCTCGGTGAGGACACGACATCTTGACACGGCTGCCGAGCGTCCCCGGGCCCGGAGGCCGCGGCGCCC